GCTGAAAAGGGTTTCTCCGTATACAAATTAATGTTCTCTATCGAACTACGCTAGAATCAACTCTTCATATCAAGAAATGAAGTTTTTATTGAAGTTTTAAAAATAGGGCAAACAACCCGAAAAATACTTAAAAATTTTTCCAAATATTTCCAAAAATGCAAAACGTAATTGAGAATAAAAATTTAAAAACCCAACTCCAACTTCATCTTCACCATCCTCCACTCCAGAGTTGGAGTTGCCCAGACCTGATCCCTTATGGACATGCCTGGCGGGTGTCAATACCAAGTTTCCTCTCTTAGATTTTTAGCTTCTTCACTTACTCTCGCCATCCACCTGCCCTCTTCCCTCTCCGATGGGCGAGATGCCCGTGACGACTCGAATATGCAATCCGAATCTTGCGGGTCAAAGTATAATTAGAGGAACCCTCAAACGTCGGGGCGCTCATATGCCAGATGACGTCCTTATTGACACTCCCGGCAATGTTTTCTGAATGGGAGTGTCAATAGCTCCTTACTGACACTTCCTGGGAGTGCCAATAGACTCACCCTTACTTTATTCAGTTATCTGTATTCTTCAGAAAAAGTTCGTGTGTTGTAGAATGAACGTGATTCATTATTTTTGTAAAGTTTTGACGAACGAGAAATATTCATTATTAATGAAAAACTATTCAGTAAAATGGTAAACAAGTTCCTTTTAATGACATCATGTCGATTGTTTATACACACACCGAAAAAAGTACACTTATAAATATTTTAAACGTTTCTAATATTTTGAAAGTAACGATAAATAGAAAAAACTTTTAATATTAAAATGTGCTTTTTAGTAAATCGAATACATTCAAAGTAAAAAACGTTTCAACGTAGTATTTCTTTCTGAAGAGCAAACGAAATTGAAGGGAATGACCTACACGTTTGTTGTTGTATTACGTTTTATTTTTATATAGAAAAAGGTTTTCATCCTTCCAGCATGAAATCCGACAGAGAACTTTAACTTTTGCCTTCCCGATGAAATTTTAGGGCTAAAAATATTTTGAAAAAAATCTTACCCTTAGTTACTCGAAAACGAAGCATTTTCGAGCAAAAGAGCGGCTGCAAAAGTTGTTTAGATTGCCATTTTCTATGGCATAAGACCTTTTTTGGTGGCTCAAAAGTTCTTAAACTCCATCCTTAAAAACATTTGTGATGTATACTTCAAACTGTAGTCTACAAACTGGAGGAAAGAACAGGCTCCTTCTAATTGCTCGTAAAACTGCCGTATTACCGTGTATTATTCAATGAAATTTTTTCTTCTTGCTAGTAGCCTTTATTGTTCCTGACAACGTGTACTTATGAATCAAGCCATTTTTTTTTCTTTTTCATTTATTTTTTGTCAAAACTGAGTTTTATTTCATTTTTAGTTTTTGCATCATTTATTACCAAAGAATAGAAAATCGTTTAGTTAAAGCATTTTATTTAATCAATTTTTAGCTGATCTCCCCTTCTTACAATCGTGTAATTCAGTAATTAAAAAAGAAAAGTAAAAGAAAAAGAAAATAAAAAAGAAATTAAAGAGCATGTCCATTAAGAACGTCAGTACTGTAACGTCTTTGAACCATCGACAATGTGTACCGCACAGGGACAATCCCGGAAACTTTAAGCATATCAGACGTACTCATCGAACTCATTTAATATTTTTCTACCTTTATTTCACACCATATATTTTAAAAAAGCTATCATGTTTTTCGTCTATCTTCTTGGTTCTATTGTGATAAGTTTTTACATCTTTTAACAATGTAAACAATGAATTCCTAGGAAGTCACCAACAAAAAGTTCTCCTTCATGATAACCATTTAGATGAGTATACATAATTCAACATACTCCTTTTTACCATCATTTAAACTGACGATGGTAGAAAATCAATGTATATTACGTTGTATACGTTCAAATGATTGTAGCAGCTAGAGAAAAGAAGTTCCTAAGCACTTTAGTAAGGCAAATTTTTAGCGGAAAGAGTATTTTCTGTATGAGGATGTCAAATTTCTTCTATTAGATGATAAGATGGTTTCATCTTCTCATATACATGCATATATTATGGCTCTAATTGGAAAGCTCACAGTCTCTTCGCTTTGTATGAAGATGATAATTTTTTTTTTTGTCTATCTCTAACTATGGCACGGCACTTAGGATATTTGTGTCATTTGATCTACGTGTGAGACTCTTACCATAATAGATCTTCTCATAAATGCTGATGTGAACACGTTTTACGCGTTCGAAACACATTCAAACGCGTACTGAACGAGCAGAGCGTTTTAACCGTACATAATGGCTCTACACTATGGTAGAGAACAAACTATTGGTTAATCATGACCGCCATAGATATCGAATATTCGAATGAAAGAGAAAGGAAATTAATCAGCTGTAATAATAATAAGTCTAAAGTTAAGTAATTTTAAACAATAATTAGGAAATAAAGTAGTAGAAAATCTCATAAATTAGAACATAGCTAGATGTTACTGCACGCTGCAATAAGAATAGCTAAAACGGATCCGTAACGCACTGATGACAAAAAAACACAGCTATTGATCAAAGGTATTTGTAAAATATATATGTAGGATGGCTATTCCTTTCGGTCAATGAAAAAATTGAACAGTTGTGGTTTCTTTTCTTTCGCCGGTATTTATTTTTCGTAGGTTTTTTTTCCTTGTTATTGTTGTTAATGTGACGAAGACAAATGGAAAATACGTCGATCTGCATGACACAAGTTAATAGCAATCTAAACAAACCATGAAAATCCTGTTCTTTGGCGCAAAAGTTTTCCGCAGACCTTTTAGAAACGTAATCTAAGTTTAGACTTGAATGTAGATTAAGACTGACCTAAATTTCCTTTGTTACAGGATGTATTTTTAATGACGACCCCCACCTGTCTGGATATTCTGACCGGGTCACTTTTTACAGAATTTCAAGGGCTATCTAATGGTATGTTTTCAAACCATACATAATTTTCATTATGGCAGAAAAAAGACTAACGCAGTATTTAAAGCACTAAGATAGGTGAAAATCATTATATCGGCCAAGTATTTTAACTATTGACCAATGTGGACATATTTTTGACGGCTTATTTATAACTCACTTTGAAGCCCGTGAAATTCTCTATTGAGCGATATATAAACTGGAGTAAATCGCCAGAAAATCAATGGATATTATAAACATGAACAACGTTGACCTACGGGTTTGCTGAGATGCTACAGAGTATTTCGGGTCGTAGGCTACCCAGTTACACTTTTTTAAGGCTCTCTTATGTATCATTTTGTAGCCCGTAAAATTTTGTATCGAATGCTATATAAAGTAGGCTGGTTAACTGGAAAATTGGTCATGACGATAGACATGAACCACATTGACCTATCGGTTTGCTGAGATGCTGCCCAGTATTTCAGATCTTTGACTACCCATTTACATTTCCTTAAGACTCGCTTATATATTATTTTATAGCCCGTGAAATTTCCTATGGAGAGGTGTATAATAGGTTGTGTTTACTCTAGGTGAAAGAAGTGGAATAATGAAAATACTTTAAGTAACGGTCATTTAACAAGGAAAGGTTTGTTTTTGCTAAACGATTTCGAGGGACGCTGAAACGGATTTTTACAGTCTAAAAATATGTTGGTGTTAATCGTGAACAAAAACTGCATCAGATGAGGTAACTTAAGCCTGATTTGATGGGGGGGGGGGGCCGATTTGGGGTGTTTTCGTTTCCC